ATGATTTTCCGGGCTAATCGGTTTCTTTTATAATTTGCAGGTGGTCATTGAGACTAATAGTTTTATATAGATGTGTTTACAAACATCTGCTCTTTACTGGTATATTTGAGGTAATATTGATAGAATGTACATTAGCACATTTTTGTGTTCTAATGGTACCTAAGCTATGTCTTGTGAATATCTTAATATTTTTTGCCTAGATAATTCCATCCCCATTTCCACCCATTTGCTCTTTAGCAAATAAACAAGAAAAGCACTTGAACATTTTGAAAAGTACTTCATCGTTTAGTCTTTATTATGTATTATTCGAACTTTTGAGCGTGATTATATCGCAGATTAACAACATTACAACTAACTACTCTCACCTAATACAAACATGTCAAATAAGTATAAGTTTCGGTTTCGTTGCCACCCAGATGCGACCTTCTTTATGCCAAGCATTTCCTTTTACAGTTCCGTTCTTTTTCGGAACAGAAAATAGCTTTTATCTTTGAAGTATACAGACCACTATTACTTTTCGGCCCGGAAATTCATGAAATATTTCAGAACTATCTTTTACTGAAAGCGAGAACTTCGAACTACTCAACTATATGAAGAGAGTGGAATATTGTAAGTTAATAGTCTCACTAGTCATTGATAAAAAAAATAGAAACATTATTTACAGTTAATAATATAAAAAATTTAAAAATTACGTGGATTGTGGATTCATGTAGTACATCGTCCCAACCCGAATTTTATTGTCTTTTTGTGTAAAATACTCACATTGATTCCCATCCTTGGCCCCAAATGAAATTAGCATTTTTGCCATTGATCTGTTATTGCTCAGTACGGCAATGTCCAAGGGTGATAACATATCTGAATTTATGCTGCAAAAAACAGAAAATGTATTTAGTAAAACTACACAACAATAGTACTGTACTCAATTTATTAATAAATTAAAAACACATTTTCCTTCCCTCAACCGAAAGTAAATTGCTTCTAAAATAACAACCAATTCACTTGTAATATTCATATTCAATGTAACACGCCCTTGTTAAGTGGAGTATTTTGTGAACTAAAAGCACATAATTAAAGTTCTTGATGTTCATTTTCTCAGGGTATATTATTGATATCATCAATATATCTTCCTAGCTGTCCAAGGATTGTCGCAGCAGTAGTTTTCACTATTTATTAATGCGAGTTTTAATAGATTTTTGTAAGTTGTTAGATTTGCTTAAAATATTAAATACTCAATTATAACTTGGTTAAAAGTTTCTTATTATTCAAAAGCTTCATTTTGACTGAATTTTATTTATCTGAAAGAACAGTTCAAAAACAAAAAACTTATAGATGTAAAAGTATTAAACAAAGATAAAATATCTGGTTTTCTTAAACATTCTACTTTTAGCCAATTGCAAGACTGCAATTGTGCATGTTCAAATGATTCCAAACATAAATATTTAATTTTCGCATCAACGCGTCTGTCTATTTTATACGTACTTTTTCAGCGCGTTCTACGGCTAATATTTGAAATATAAAACGTAATCATTAACATTACAATTAATTAAACAACAGACAGACACACAATGAGATAAATTACGTTAAATTTAACACGCGGAAACGTAATGTGCAAAATGATAATTGTCACAAAGTAATTATTCAATTATTGCGTTCGCGTCAGTTTGCTTTCAAACATGTAGGTAGAAATTACATTTCTCTATAAAAATACGAGTATTTATTGTAAAGTTTCAAAAACACTGTTTAGCAATCAGTACATATTTTTGAAATGATGATCGGATTACGTGTTTTTAATTATTGCGTTGATAAATTAAAATTATCTCGTTGATTTGTACCATTTGGGAACAAAACAAACTAATAAACAATGTAATTTCTTTAAATAAAAATGTTTTATGACACGACATAATACTATAAAATAGCCACATAGCGACGACTGTATTGCTAAGACTTAATTAGGTTAAAATAGTAAAGTCAACAAGAAAAGGAAGAAGTAATGAAATTATAGAATTATTAAAAGATTTCGTGATTCGCTCGATTCCTTAATTAACCTCATTTCTTTACGCCTGGGGTGCAAATAAAAGACACTGTTGTTGCGACTCTCTCAAGGTTTATTTCTGATAGACGCCAGCAAGTTCGGTTAATGAAATTAGCTGCTCTTTGAAAAAGACATGCACTCAGAACATTAAAATTTATATGAGAAGTTAATAATGCTGTTATTGTCTTCTTTATGCACATCTTAATTATTTTAGTATAAACCCAGATAATGCTAGCCTCAAAGCGAATGAAATATGCCCCGATAAATAAACATTTCCAGAGAAATCCTGCAAGGCTTTCTCTTGGAACGGGCGCCCTTCATCTGGCAAAAAAATCGTCAAGGATGGATCGCAGATTACACGTAAAACAAATCAATATAGATGAAACTGTATTTACAGACCGAATTTTTATTTTACCGGATTTTTGAACAATTACAATACAGTTTGAGATATGGAAATTACCATATTTGCCGCATTCGATAGTTTCATGCGTCATGTCCTGGGGGAGAAGATTGCTCTAAAGATAGCTCATTTGGTTATTAGTGAAATGTCGAAGGTTATATTTCACAAAAGCCTTGGCTCGATTATAATGATGATTATTATTTTAACGGCTGGAAAAATCCTTCAGCCATTATTAATTTGATTTGATATAAGATATATATATATTTGAGTTGCACCCCCCAGGACAGCTCAGGAGTGTGTTTAATTTATTAAAATATTAATTAAATTTAATATTTTATTTTCTCATATCAACTGCAATGAATGGGTGAGTAGCATGATTCTTACCTATTGATATCGGCATCAGTAGATTCTAAAATGGTTTTTGCCTTCTCCAAATGTCCACACTCTACTGCAGAAAACAGTGCTGAAACAATACAAACATTTTGTTAATCTCACTAATTCGACTGCTTCTGTTGCTAGAAACAATATATGGTGTTTTTAAGTACGAAAAGGAAATTACACACCCTGTGGTGGTTTACTTTATATTTTCGTTTTCTAATCAATTCTATTACTTTTAATGTACACAAACTTAGCGCAATGTTACGGATATAATACAAGCAACTTGAGAAACTACTTCATTTGTATTTCACCATAATACCTTTTATTATTGCGTTCAAACGAAGGTTGAAAAACATTTCAAAACTGTAATGTTGTCCTGAAAATTGAGGTTTATTAATATGTGATTACATTTATGCAGTTTGTCGTCGAGAAAAATAACAAAAGCTGAAAACTCTAAGGGCAGTGTACCATTTTACAGCAGCATTGTGGTTTCGACCATAAAAAAAAGAAAAACCATAAAGAAATGCCATTTTCTCGTTGTTCTCGGTTCTTTGAAAAGTTTCACTCTGGATCGTGTTACATGTGTGTGAAACGAGAAGATGACGTCGATTAAATTGTCTCAATTCGGAAAACGAGTTTTCCGAGTAATATAAACAGCGGCGAGAAAGTTTTCCTCTCAGTGGAATTAAGTGAGTTCCATTGAAAATGAAGTTACGCAGCTATAATACATATTTTTTTGGAGGGGAAGCTCTATAATCTTGTTCGGACAATTGGGAAAACTATACGAAACATTTCGGCCATTTGGTTTCGACAATGCATATAACTTTTATTTAATGGTACTCCGCAGGAAAATCAGAAAAATTAAAACATGTTTGCTGTTCGTCCTAGCAAAGAAAATCATTCCGTATTTTTTATTTTTTCATAATCTTCTATATTACATTTTTTTAGTTTCCGTAAAATGTTTTCCATAAAATATTTTGTCAAACTAATGTAACATTTCTTTGTATGGAAATATTTTGCGTCGCTTTTTATGGTTCAAAATTCAATTTTCGTATTTTTACGCCGAAATCCTAGACATTCAATTCGGAACACATACATTCCATGTGCGAAATATGGACATTCGATTTGCTAGATGCTCTGCATATCAATTTACTCAACGTCATTCAAGTTGAACAGATAGGCTATTTGGCTCCATCATTAACTTTTAATTTAGAAAAATATTATATCAACAAGAGCCAAGATATTGAAAAGAAATATAACTACTCTATCTATCTAAGTTTTATCGTTTTTAGCGGAAATTGATTGGAAAGGAGTTTTCTCTTAACATCACAGCAGCAAGCCTGCATGTTTGAAAGTGGAATGTTTTAAACTTGGATGTAGTTGGAATTTAGTTTTTAATTTTTTCTTTCGTTCGGTGACGATCAATAAAGCACAGGAAAGAGGGGACCGTTGCATTGGTGGGAAAATAATCCAAACGAATTGCAACGGCTCTTTAATGTTTATACAGTGGAATTGGAGGATTACGGTATTATCAGAACATCTTTTTGAGTACGTCCAAAAGTATTATAAATATTTGATATTAATTAATTGAACATTCCGGAATGCACAACGGAAAACCAACACGCATTTGGAAATACGCAACAAAATAAACTTGATTAATAAAAATCTAATTTTAATACATCAGGCTATCAATTTATTTGAGTGTTGCAACACTAAAAAACTGTTGCCAGACACAAAGGTTTTTTTTCGGCTTCTTTGCGAGATGCAACATAATTTAATTGGCGCAATAAAAACTTTTCCTTGTTAAAACTATCTAAATCGTTCGAACGCTTATTGTCGGTCTGTTGAAACCAGCGCCACCAGTAATGGCATAAACTGAATAGAGAGATGGTGAAAAATCTAGAAGTTTTCCACAGACGAAAGTTGGCACAAAATTGGAAAAACTTTTCCAATACATTTCTTTCGCACCATTCAGTTTTTCATGGCATCTCGCACAAATTTTGATTTGGAATAAACTATAATAAATGGTTGTTTGAAACCGTAGTGCCAATTTATATAATTTAGCGTGGAAGCACCTGACAATTAAAATAATAGTCAATGCCAGACGAAAATCGCTAAGCTCAATAAAAATGGATTTAAAAGAAATTAAACGGTGTCCAAAATTAATGCAACAATGAAATTCAATAGAATAGTTCTAAGTTTTAGATTGATATTTGTATTGTTGAATCGTAAGTACAATAATTTCCATTTAATTTCCTGCTGTAATGCAGGGTTCTACAAAATTTTCAAAAAAATATTTTTTAATCATGAAGTTACGTTGTATGATGAAACACTCCGTTTTGGTTAACTCTAACTACTAGTTTCTAATCAAATTTTGCGTTTAACCACCCAAGATGAGGCATAACTTCAACCTTTGAACGAGCCGCATGCAAATTACTCATCCGATAAAAGAACAAGCATATTGGCTGACTGAATCGTTAAAAAACCACAATTATAAACATGTTATCTTACCGTGTAAATGTATATTAATCCGGGCGAGTTTTTCGAGTTTTTGCTGAATGAGTTTGGCTTCCTTTTTGCTGGGTTTGTGACTGGGAGGTGGGAGACCCCGGGTAAGCGGGATACTCGCCACCTCCATGTCCAGGTCGCCCGCGAGAGTAGGAAATTCTGCAGAAAAGAAACAAAAAAACCTAAATAAAATAAAATAATACAAATAAAAATTAAGTCTTAAATAATACATGCAATGGAGGATTTTTTTTCAAATTCATGTAGGATTTATTTACTGGTTTTCAATATCAAATCGATTGACTCAATGAATTGCGAATGTTGTGAGTAAATAATATGAATGTTGAAACAGGACATCAATGCGTTTCGAAAATTCAATGTTCTAATGGCAAATTCATGTAGGTATGTAATTATTTAGGGATTAGCGTCAAACGAAATTCTCAAGGGTTTTTATTTACCAAATTATTATGTCCGTTGAGTTTTTATTTGCTAATGCATTTTTGCAATTTGTTTTTATCTCGTACTGTTGCCGAACGGTTTATCTGTTTTTAGTTTACAGTGGCTGCACTGCAATTAAATAAAATGGCAGAAAAAACCAACACGTTTTTCGTCGCACAAAACTGGACTTGAATGTTTTACAATTGTTCGAATTAAAACAAACTTATTTAAATTACCTCCTCTTAAAGTTTCTTCAAGGCATATATGTACACTTTGCAATCATAACAGCGTCTATGACTTCTAGTTTTGTCTAGAGTATGTAGTCTTCTAGAGTATGTAGAAAATAATGAGCCATAAAAATTCCTAGGAAAAGTCGTTTTTGAAAAATCAATGGCATAATTAATTTTGAGAAGAATGTTTTAAGTAAAATAATAAATAATAAACCAAATGTTGTTTATCACAAATATTTACCGGGGAAAATCTGTTTTGCCACACTGCCCAAAGCGTGTACTCCTTTGTGCAGAAAACTCACCACCGATTTATACACATTGGTAAACCCCATTTTGAGATTTAATTTTTTTTGTAAAAATCTATTAAGATTTTCACGATAATTACAAAAATTGACTGTGTCTATTTCAAACAGTTTCTTGAAAATATAAATTTGTTCTTGGTATTTGTTTACAATATTCTGGGCAAGATAATTTTTTGCAGACATATTTGAATGCTGTATTTTGGGCGGTAAATTCAGTAAATAAACATGTTCAACAAGTATAATATTCACTCGCTTGCACTAAGCAGTTCATACACACGTGTGTGGGGTATGGGATTGGTATTGGAAAAAGCTCAGAGACCTCGATTGTATAAATTGGATTACAAAAACACATTTTCTCTAGTTACTGTTTAAGGATTATTAATATGTATAAATCTAAAGTTGCAAATAATTCTGCTATATTCAAGCAAATACAATTTTTTTTCTATAATATATCTATTATCTACGGAGATTGAATATTTCTTAATAAAAAATTGAAAAAAAAATTCTAAACACTTTTTGGCACCTATGTTATCTTAATTTAAATTATGTTGAAAGTGGCTTGATGTAAAAAGTCGATTATTCAGTTTTTKAACATTTTTATTTTTTTCTAGCTACTAATTTAGCAGCATTTATATAATTTTATATTAATAATATTTGTGTTACACAATGTTATACAAAACAAAAACACTTATTACATTATAAAATTAGTTTAAATTTCAAAGCAAACAAACAGAAAACTAATCGGATATTCGATTAATGGTGAGTCCATGGCAGTACATTAAWTAAAGTTAAAATAATTATTTATTATGATTAATATAAAAATATTTGGTGTTGTTTTTCAATTCAAGTCATTTTGGTCAGTTTGGGCGCATTTTTATAGACAACAGTAGTATATTTGTCAATCGGAAAATATCTTATATTATAGTTAAACTTCTAATATCAAACATAACGTTATAACGAGATCGTCCCGGAAAATAATTTGTTTGCGATGTTTCGCAAGCACAAGTGACAGCATCCTCAGAGGTGTGCAAGAGAAAGCTCGTCGTTAAAAATTTGTTACTTTTCTTGATATTCTAAGCGCCAGGGAAACACCAGTTTTAAACTCTTAATGTTTCATCCGCCACCAACTGAAAAATATCTGAAATCGCGCTTAAAACATCGATCTTGACTTTAACTTTATTCAGCAAAAAAAAACCTAAACTGAAAACTCAAGTAATTAAACAGTTTTTATTGATAATTGCCATCATGTGTCCAAAATAATGACTACAGTTTGCATGAAGTGCATTCATTTGTGATATAAAGCAATTGTTTATTTTAAATTGTTCACCCTGTTGAAATGTTCATATACTTTAAAATATATGGTCACTATAATAAAATTCAATGTTGTAACCTTTTCCAGGCCTACCTTTGTACAATTTGAGTCATATATTTATATCCTCCAACATTTGAAGATGCGAATAAAGGGTTAAAACTTGTATTCCATACGAGAATATGAGAAATATGTGAGTGTACCATTTAAATTTAGAATGCGGGTGTTATTGATATTTCTGGAATTATTATATAATATAATACTTTCTTATTAGTGAATTATTTATAACTTTACGTAAGTTTAATTAATCCATTTTAGAAGAGTCAACATGTATATTAATGTGTGTTGACATTGCAGGATTTTGACCACCTACTCAATCGACATTGTGACTACCTTTCGTCGCTTAATGTGGGTGTTTTCTTTAACTTATACCCAATTATTTTGGCATATAAACTAATCCGTTAATAGAGCTAATCCATGTAGGATTTTTTTCGATAAATCGCTGAATCTGTCTTGCCTTTTATGAAAAATATCTTCGAATTTTAACTAATTGTTAGTAGGAGTAGGATATACTTAATATTGTTATTAATTTGTTTACTAAAATTGTATTTTAATTCTCGGAAGTTATTAGTCTCACAATTATGACGAGAAGTAATAAACAGTCGGCAATTACACATATTTATGTTGTGGTTTTTCATCCAATATAAAGTAACTTTTGTACGTCACTGACGATTTAATTAAAAATTTGAATGTATTTGCATCACTTTTAATGCATTGGAGTTTTCAAAAATGACTGAAAATTCTATTTGCACATAGAATAAAATTCTTATTTTGCATATTTAGATTACCAGACAGTTTTCACTCGTTTATTAGCTAGCATTGATCGGCAATTACCATAAAAGAGAGCATGAGCAATATAAACGGATACAGACGACACTGCCGAAACACCCTTATACAACATCCCTATCAGGGAACTGTAAACACTGGAAATCACCATTTCTTCTAAATTTCCATCACATTAATTCACAAATAGAAACGAAAATTGAAGGTAAATTTCACTCATCCTTCATTATCTCGACATCACAATGTTTGATCTGATTGTGTTGCCGGATCTAAATGCTGAGAGCACAAAATGCGTACTGGCGCTTTTTAATACTATAACAACTCGGTTTTAATTTGTAATGCCGATTAAGCTTTTTAGTGCGGACAATTAAGGTGTATCTGTATTCAAATGAAAGTCCGTAATTGCCCACACAAGTGGATGTAGAAGGCCATCCATCCCATTTTATCCATTGGTCCATTTCAATTTTACTTTAGACGAGATGATTCCATCTGCCGAATAGATCATTTTACTGTTTTTATTTTCTAATACAATCAATTGGCGAATATGCTATTGTGATCGATAAGCTTTTGCTACCAGTTATATAATTCGCACACCGATGACGATGGATGCATCAACAAAATGCATGTACTTTGTGCTCGTTTTTGCAAAGAACTATTTCTCGGAATCTGCAGTTTATTGGTGATTTTCACTTTTGTTAGATGTTCTTTCAGTTATTTCTTATTATACATCTTCTCTGGGTCATGGACACATCTTGGTGATTTCTTCAATTCTGTATTGAGCGTCGACGAGTAATGGAACAAGAATTAGTAAATCTTCACTTTCTGAAATTGTAAATTATTAACGTCTTTCAACATCCTTGGGGTGTCTTTGAATGTTGAATTCGACAGGTTTGTCTTTTGGTTTTGAGCTAATGTTCAGGAATTTCAGGATCGTTTTCTCGTTTCTCATTTAGCTTGGAGAGAGCGTTTGCTGTTTTTAGTTTCCAATTTAGTTTTTCATCGTTCATTCGTAAGTTATTTAAATGTTTCTGTTAATTCGTGAATACAATCAGTTTGTAGTTGATGTATGATTTTCACAAAGTTTAGTTGATAGTTTAAATTGCCTTTTAATATTTCAAAAGTTGTATAGTCATGTGCAGAGTGCATACTGTTGTTATAGTTCAAAATTGCAATAGTTGATATTGCAATTTTAAACTTGTAATTCAAGAATTAGATCTAATTCTTGAATTATCTTTGATCGACAATTTTGCCTAAGGGCGACAAGACTTTCTTTGCGTGTTGAATGGAAACTTCTATAAATATTCTGCTCTCCTGATGCAAAAGCAATTTTAGTAAAGACACGCAATATAGTTGTTATAGCGTTACGTTAATTGAATCAATGTCTATTTTTATTTATAAAATCCTTCTGCTCTGATGCAAATGGGATTTAAGTCAAGACACACCAAGTAGTCTTAGCGTTACCTTTTTGCAATTAATATATATTTTTGTTACTGATAATTATTTGTCTCTACCTCCTTCAATGTTCTGCTCTCCTGATGCAAACAGGATTTTAGTCAAAACACAAAACAATTTTAGCCTTACGTTAATTGCGATGAATGTCTATTTCTGCTCCTGATATTTCCTTGTCGCCAGCTTCTTCAATATTCTGCTCTTCTGATGCAAACTGAATTTTAGTAGACACACAAAATATTTTTACCGTTACGTTACAGGCGATTTCCGCAAATAAATTTAGCTAATTTAGCCTTAAATCGATCTATTTTAGCGCAAAGAATAGCAGCTTATATTTTCTGACATCATATTTCCTCGTAAGTGGACTTTTTTGTGTGTAGCCATCTAGCTCGGACAAGAAGCCGGCGTTTGTGCAACGTTTATTTCACTTGACTTTATTTTCCAATTGGATTGTGCACAGTATAGAAGATCATCAATATTGAACGCGACATTGACAGTGTGATCGTAAATTGTAATGCCCCCATGATATCGATATATCGTGTTTCAGTTGCAGTACATGAGGATTTGTGGTACGAGAACATTTCCATCCAA